TCTCTCTATGGCAGAGCATTGAAGTCCACTAGTCGATTAGTCGGTGCAACCCCTACTCACCTTAGTTCATCGCGATCTCATAAAGTTACATTATAATCAACAAAGCTCTCTACACAGCACAATGAATCGCTAATTTACACCGTGTCTCCACTTTGTTTGTTATAATGAGAGGATTAGTGAGCTTGCAGAACTCAGTAGCACTGAACAAAACACTGGTGTTTTGAGTGGTGAGTGGATTATGATTAACATTTTGTTCAAGGAATCAACAGATATGTCTGTGATACATTACTCAACGCTGCAAAAACATGTTGCAACTAGAAACCTTTGAAGCTCCCCTGAGCGCAAACGCAAATATGATGATCAGGTGAGTCGCACTGGTGCTTCTAAATATTTTTCATAGTCGCACACAGTAGTTTTCAGTCGTAGATGCAACTGAAATGGTCGCACTGTACAGCCTTATAACACATTAATAATAGAAATAAGAGTGGCATAAACACAATGGCTAAAACAATAATAACGATTACAAGCTGCAGAATAAAGCCTCCACTTCCCTTAGGATCAATGCCATCAAAATAGAGTACCCTGTTGTAATCTAATCGCACAATGGACATCTTACCTGGAGGTCGCATTTAAAACTAGATTAGGAAGTCAAGTTTTGATAGAGTCAACAAATACAATACCCTGACATGACATTTTAACAGGCAGCATTGGGTGACTTAAAAAGCAAGTGGCCCTGTATGCATGAGAGAACATTATAGTAAAGGTTGACAGGCTGCCAAGCTAAGCATGAGCACAAACGAGTTGGTAGGCCTGGTCATAAAGTGCCTTCACAAGGAAAATACATACATAAAGGTCTAGACGAAGTGCTTTTATGTTTTAAAAAACAACTCTTAATCATAACCAAACACAGCAAAAGACAGATGACAGCTTATAATATATGCAGACAATGTCTAGCTTGTCTGCATATTGCTGTTAAACATTTGTGAGACACTAAGCGGCAACGTCTCTGTAGATGCCTAATATGTTGAGACATACAAGCTGCAAATGTCAGATCATATCTTTTAGACTGTAAACACTTGTTTAGAACACACACAGCCACAATGACTTTGAGTAACTGTTTCATTCAGTGCATTTGAAGGTAAGAGATGCAGCTCGAATTACCTGCATGTACTGTGGCTCATTATCAAATGCGTTGTCACATAAACAACACCCTAAAGCAGATTAGTAACACCATTTTCCTAGTATAGCTGCATTTGTCTAATTAAATTTAGTATTTATTAGCAGGATATTGATCTTGAGGAAATATTTGCAGGGCCTTTTCTTTTGGTCCATAAATTTTAGTGAGTTAATTTGTGATACTAAATAAGTAGTTTAAAAATCATTGTGTCGATTTCTATTGCTTACATAATTAAATCTTAGAATTAATATATTTAGCATTTTTACTGCCAAATATGAAAGTCCATATCCACCATATAAGGTCATGCTTAAGAATGTCATTATTACAACATATAAAGATACAATTTTGAGATACTAAGCCACAATTATGAGAAGATAAAAAGTCAAAATTACGAGATAAAAGAACAACTTTATGTCATAATTAGCCTACTTGGTATGTCATAATGACTTAACATTGCATGATATTTACTGTGTCATAATTTTGACTTTTTATATCATGACTTAGTATCTCATATTTCTATTTTTTATGTCATAATGATTATTTAGCAATGGATTTTAGTAATGTGGCAGAAATGGGCTTCCATACTAAAAAGACACAAAATATTTCTGAAAATTCTAGATAATTTAATATTGAAATTTACATGATACTATTTAAGATTTTATTAATTTCCATGACTCTTCCAGGTTTTCCATTACCATGAGCGTAAAGGGGAACAACTGTCCTAAAAATTTGTTTTGCAAATTTGTGCAAAAAAAAAATAAATAAATCATTTTAAAACACCCATAAAATGCTAACTTATTTTGACATTTTGTTTTTAATCAAAGTAACAGCCAAGAAAAAAAAACATACACACGCAAAATGTCTTTAGTTTTGTAGCCTGTTTTGCTGTTTTATCACAGTATGACTCCTCTGCTTTAGAATCTGTATATGGGCTAATTTGTGGAAATAATCATGTCGATCTAATGATAAGCAATATTTGTTTGCATTTGTCTTCTACTGTAAAGCAGTAGAGATTGTCAGAGTTGCCTTTTTAGTTGCATTAGCTTGTGTAGGGCTGGTTGAATTTGATGGTGTTGTTTGTCAGGTGAACACGTCTCTAGTGAGAGCGGTTTCATGAGGTGACTGTACTACGGACACCTTAAACAAGTTAAACAAATCCATCATTAACCGACTCTGCGCTGCTGCGTCACTTCCTCTGGCATGTTCACTTGCACTGCTGTTTGTTTTTAGTCTGTCAGCTGACAAAGTACATATCAAAACAACCACAGTAATTAAAACAAAATTACACTCTATATAACTAATGACATTACTACATGCAATAACGATGAACTATGTTAAAGCACGGATTTTTTTTTTTTTTTATAACATAAAAAAATTGGGAATGCTGGAAAAAAAACCGTGCCCTTCGTCTTCTAAAACGAAACAAATCACTTAAATTAATTGAGTTACATTTACAGAATAAAACTTACTAAAGTGAAACCCCTCCCAAAACACTAAGCTGCTTAGCTAGAAGAAGATAGCAACTGGCTAATTTAGACAGTGCAAATAATGATGCGGTTCCAGGACATCCTGTTATTCAACGTTATTCGAGATATTATGTTGTATTTTTCATCCTATACTCACAGCTTGGCTCTTGGTCTTGGCCATGGACGGTTTGAGGCAGTAATGTTGTCATTACAGAGCTGTTAGTAGTGGATGTGGCCGCTGCTGCCTCTCTGCTGCCAGCTCCGACGTCACACCACAACAAGCTCTCTCTCTCTCTCTCGTGCAGTGGAGCGGCTTGAGACTCTAGACAGCAGAGGGCAGCACAACACAGAGAATCAGGGAGACACCGTAAAGTTGAAGTTTCTCAATTAAATTTTTCATTTCAAAGAGCTTTATTGGCATGACAAAAATACATTTTGTATTGCCAAAGCATTAAGACAACAAAGAGAATGGTTTAACATCTGAACATTTACATTAGAACATCTGAAAATTTATTTATATTATAGCTAACTAATATGTAATATATGTTTCGATCTCTCACAGACTGCAGTGGAAGCAGATTCTCTCTTTCTATTTTGTTTTCCTCTTGTGTGGAAATGTGAACGCAAACTTGTATTTACTATGCTCTACCATGTACCTCTATAGAATTTTACCTGCTCAAAGTTGTTTATCATTACTTCAAATGTAATTATTTATTTATTTATTTATTTCACTCTCCCATTTACCTCTATAGAAGTTTACCCTCTTAAAGTTTATTTATAGTTACTTTCATATTTATTTATTTGTTTATTTATTTATTTATTTCACTCTCCCATTTACCTCTATAGAAGTTTACCCTCTTAAAGTTTATTTATAGTTACTTTCATATTTATTTATTTGTTTATTTATTTATTTATTACACTCTCCCATTTACCTCTATAGAAGTTTACCTTCTTAAAGTTTATTTATTTATTGTCTACACTCTCTTATATACCACTATAGAAGTTTATCCTGTTATTTATTTATGTTTGTCTGTCTTTCTATCTATTTATTTATTTATTTATTTATTTATTTCTATCTATCTATCTATCTATCTATCTATCTGTTCTCATACATGTACCTAGAAGTTTACCCTGGTAATGTTCACTTGCAGTTACTTTCTTATTTAAAAGTGTTTAGTGTATTGAATATAGTGTATTATTAAATGTACATTATATGAACAAAAGTCTTGGGACACCTGATCATTACACCAGCATGGACTTTAATGACATCGCATTCTAAATACAAAGACATTAAAATGGATTTTGTCCCCCTTTGCAGCTATAATAGTTTTCACTCTTCGAAAGGCTTTCCACAAGATTTTGGAGTGTTTCTGTGTGAATTCTTGCCAACTCATCCAGTAGAGAATTTGTGAGATTGGGCACTGATTCTGGATGAGAAGGCCTAGCTCACGATCTCCGTTCCAGTTCATCCCCAAAATGTTCGACCTCATCCAACCATTATGGACCTTGCCTTGTGCACTGGGGCACAGATGCAGAAAAGGGCCTTCCCCAAATTGTTCCCCAAAGTTTTTAATTTTAATCCTAATTGCTCAAGCATTAAGATTTCCCTTCACTGGAAGTAAGCATAGCCCAACCCCTGAAAAACAGCCCCATACCACTATCCCTCCTCCACAAAACTCTACAGGTTGCACAATGCAGTCAGGCAGGTAACGTTCTCCTGGCATCTGCCAGACTCGCTCATCAGATTGCCAAACAGAGAACCGTGATTCATCATTCAGCAGAACACACACTTGATATTGTGAGACTTGCATGCAGCTACTCAGCCATGGAAACTCATTCCATGAAGCTCCCGCCACACACTTTTTTTGTTGATATTAATGCCAGTGGAAGTGTGTAACGCTTCAGATGGAATCATGAAATGTTCTATATAAAGCGGTGAATGTTTACAGTTTTAATTTCACACATATTTAAAAAAAAAAAAAAGAATACAGTACTTGTGAACTGCTAAATGTCTATCTATTCTTCTAGGAGAAATTGAAGTCAGTTCAGGTTTGGCTTCATCAGTCTTAAACACATGAAATCTTCTCAGTACAAATATCACAAATGGAAATATATTCAACACTAATATTACTTAATGAATGAAAGAAAAACACAGAATATAATCACTGCACACAAAAACTCAAACCTCACTTGAAATGTAAGCCATAGTAGAGGGAATGTCATAGCTATACTTTACCACCGGACAGCTTGTTTTCATCAAGGAATAAGAATGTCTAGATTACTTTTTTTAAAAAGGCCTCTATGATCAGCATTAGATATCAATTGAGAATGTCCACATATCTGCAGATGTCCGTTGTGTAATGCCTTCCTGCATTTAATCATTAGAGGTGTTTTCGTCCTGCTCTACATCTCTGGTGAAGGTGGGAACAGGGCCTGTGGGAGTGTTGGTGAGAGTGCAGTAGTCTTGTTTGAAACAGACAGGCACTGGGTTAATGATAACCGGTGCTTCGAAAGCCTCGCAGTCCTCAAGACCCTCGAGACTAAGAGCCGAGTCCTTCAGAGACAGAACATCCCCACTCAGACACGCCACGTTCAGAGACTGCATGAGGTTGCCCACTTTATCAGGCAACTCTTCGCAGAACAAAGAAAAATCCTCACACGAGATGCTCGTCTCGCTGCGTGTATCAGGCATTTGGCACGGGGCCCAGACCTCAGTTGTGGGGCCCACATAGGGTGTGTGGCATTGTGCTGTGGGATACATGCCCGTTTTCTCAACCTGATCCTGTAGTGTGGTTATGACCTCGGAAATCTTGTCAATTTTCGAAAAGTCTTCTATAACGTGAAAATCTTGTAAAGGACTTTTTGCCAAAACCCAACACTAATGAAAAAAAGGAGGACAAACATTAATAGATTATGAATATATGGACATATCTTACACAATCACATTATATATTATTACAATTTAAACAGTTATTTTCTATAAGAATAAAATGTAATTTATTCCTGTGATGCAAAGCTAAATTTTCAACATCATAACTCCAGTCTTCAGTGTCACATGATCCTTCAGAAACCATTCTAAGATGCTGAATTGCTTCTCAATAAATATGTCTTCTTATTATTAATGTTGAAAACAGTTGTGCTGCTTAATATTTTTTGTAAGCGAGTTTTTAAATAAATAAATACTTTTATTCACCAAGGATGAATTAAATGGATTAAAAGTGCTAGTAAAGACATTTATAATTTCTATTTCAAATAAATGCAGTTTTTTTTCCCCATTCAACAAAGAATCGAATAATCATGGGGAAAAAAATGTAACATGGTTTCTAGAAAAACATTAAGCAGCTGTTTATTGATAATAATAACAACCATTAATAATTGAGCACCAATAATAACTAATAATAATAACTGAGCAACAAATCAGCATATTAGAATGATCTCTGAAGGATCATGCGACCCTGAAACATATAATTATAACATATAACATATAAAGTACCCACTGTCTCACAAGCCCTTTCTAGTCATTTCATGAAACCCCAAAGGGTTCAAACCCTCGGCTATGAAACCCTAGTCTATTTGAAGTGTGAAATATTACCTGAAAATTGCCTTGGTGATTTTGATAAAGTGGCTGGAAGTACGGTGCTGGTGTTGGCACCCATGAAATTTCTTTCATCTTAAATCTGTAATGCATAAATGACGCATATTATTTCCAGTCATCTTTCCTGTGACACCTGAGTTGCTCACTAGCTCTGTATATTTTCCCCATGTACTGCATACTTGCACAATAAATATACTGCAATAGCAGGTGTATGATAAACAATTACCTTGCAGCAGGAATGGACATAAGCAGAATTAAAAGTCCAACCATTGAAAACATTCCAATGGCAATCTTGCTGACTTGATTGGGCTCATCTTGTACAAAAACTAGAGATTGAAATAATCAACACAGAAAACGATCATGCGACCCTGAAACATATAATTATAACATATAACATATAAAGTACCCACTGTCTCACAAGCCCTTTCTAGTCATTTCATGAAACCCCAAAGGGTTCAAACCCTCGGCTATGAAACCCTAGTCTATTTGAAGTGTGAAATATTACCTGAAAATTGCCTTGGTGATTTTGATAAAGTGGCTGGAAGTACGGTGCTGGTGTTGGCACCCATGAAATTTCTTTCATCTTAAATCTGTAATGCATAAATGACGCATATTATTTCCAGTCATCTTTCCTGTGACACCTGAGTTGCTCACTAGCTCTGTATATTTTCCCCATGTACTGCATACTTGCACAATAAATATACTGCAATAGCAGGTGTATGATAAACAATTACCTTGCAGCAGGAATGGACATAAGCAGAATTAACAGTCCAACCATTGAAAACATTCCAATGGCAATCTTGCTGACTTGATTGGGCTCATCTTGTACAAAAACTAGAGATTTAAATAATCAACACAGAAAACATGGATGGATTGACTTTGATTTTACATTAACAGATCGATTAAAAATGAGTGTGGAAATGTAAAGCAGTAGCTACCACAGTATTCACCTCTGTATGCTGTTTTCCATTCCACTGCACTGCTCCAGTCACTCCACATCCCCCTGTAGACATTTCCATCATCTATCTTACTCTTCACCATCACAGTGTATGTAGTGTCCGGATCAAGCTTCATTTCATCAATCTGAATCATATCTTTGCCTGCTTGAACACTGACCGCCTTAAAAAATAACATTAATGTTAAGCCATTCATAGAAGACATTCATTTTCAAAACAGGAATACACAGATAGATGGTGTTATATATGTTTCTTTGATGTGGGTGAAACATAGGATGTTCTCTGAGAACATGCCCTATGATTGGTGGACATTCATAATTGAATCATCAGTATAATCAATCTTACGCTTGCATGATTTCCATCTTTGTAGTACTTGAATTCATATAAGATGGGTAGAACTCCTTTGTAAATATGATTTTCATATCCATTCTTCCAAAAGAAACGATACGTTCCATTTGCATATTGTAACGTCAGATTAAACGGAGTTTTTGGTTTAACTGAGAAAAGAAAGAAGCTTCATGTATGTGAAATATAAACTGTGTAAATCACTGTTTTCTTTGATTACATCAAAATCGACTCACTATTTTTTGCTGGCTCAAAAGAAGCATCCAACAGAGTTGAATTCTCAGTTCCATTTTCCAAATAATAAAGTGAATATTCATCAATATCCATGAAGCCTGATACTGTTAAATTGCAGATGTGATCTTCACGTACTCTCTGCAGTTGGCAGCCATATTTCCTGTGTGTGAAAATCCATGTTTGGGAAAATCTTGCACTGTACTGGTAATGCATACTACCATTTGTATATGAAAACTGAAAAACAGTGTATGAATGACTAAACAGACAATGGCAATGAATAACTGGAGCATACTTACTGGTCATTGCCGATCAAATAAGCTTCCAGCCGGTATGATATGTTTCTAGTGGATGTGACTGGTAGTTTTAAAGAGCAGCTGATGGTATGGTAGTAATCTGTCACACAGATGTGCCCTTTTGTCAGAGATGAAATAGCGAAATGGTCATACATTTTTGGAAGTACATGCAAAATCCATTGTGACTGAAACTGCAGATTTAAGAAACATGTTTTACCCTGTAAAGTCGCTTTAAGCTGCACTGAAAAAGCCAAGAAAATGCAGAAAATCCCAGTGCGGTTCATCATTCTTGTACAGGACTCAATGAACACGCTCTTCCAGATTTCAACTTAGCCAGAACTCACACAAGTCAGCACATGCAACTGACAAGAAGTGACTCATATTAAGTGTTCAGCATAAATGCAACAATTGATTGATTTAGCAGACGTTAAAGGCGACTAACGAATGAGGAACACAAGCGATTCATCTTAAACTGATAAAGAAATACCTTCCGTTTAAAAGCCACTCAGGTTCCATTCATTTAAATCCAAGTGATTAAAAATCTGGTGCTCATTCTGAACATTTGTTTGTAATAAAAAGTCAAAGTCAAAGTCAAAACACCCAAGATGCTTAAAAATCAAGTATGTATCATACATTTCTGTATTTACGCTCAAATTTGAAAGAAGACACATAGCAACTCACCAAATTTATTCGGAAGCATTAGAGAAATATTACATAATAGCAAAAAAGTTGAAGTCTGAGGCAGTGAAGGGCATCAAGATTGCTTTATATACAGAGAAGTTCCTGTTTATGTAGGAGGTCTTAACCTCAAAATTATCTAAAAATCTCTCATTAGTGAAGATGGCATCTCGAGGTTCTCACTTCACCAAACATCACAAATGGAATCACACGTTAATCTTTTACAATAAATTAAAGGTAATACGTTATAATAACTTTCATTTATAAATCCTTAACAAACATTATATAATTCTTAACAGATCATTCGTTAATATATATTCACATAGCTAGAAATATGAGATGATGTTCTTGTTAATGTTTACTAATGAACTTACTAAACATTATCTAATGATTAACAAATGATTATTTACTGTAAATTGAAATGCTTACAAATGTCAGCAAACATTCAGTTCATATGATCTTCATTTGTTGGTCTTTGTTTGTTGTGTAGACCTCTGTTTATACATCTTAACAATTATTTGTTCATGGTTTTGCAGTAGCCAAACTAAAGTTGAAACTATTCATCATTTGTAAATGTTTATAAACGATTACTAATCATTTAGCATCTTTATGGGCATTGGACTTTTAACCACTTTAACAAGGTTTGTGTAAAGGGTGGCTGGTTGAGTTTAGCTAAATGCTGGCTAAAGACATACCAGATTGTAATTTTGGTGCAAAATTTTTTTTATTATTGCCTCAACACTCACTTTAGTATCATTAAACAGGATGTTCCTTGAATCAAAAATAATCAGGAGAAAGCAAATCATTTTTTAAAAGAAAATACTTGTTCATTTATCAAAACAATATAATATAAACGTATTGAACTGTGTTCCCTTATAATCAAATTGACCCCTGTACACTGTTGACCCTTTAACCAACCCGTAAACCTACCCATACCAACAAACCCGTCCCTAAACTTACCCGTACCACACCTCAATAGCAGCAGAAGTGTTGTGCATTAACACAAGCTTTTAATCATTTTATAACATCTGTTAAAATCACTTGTAGATTCTCAATAAGTGCTTGATCATATGGAACTGAAAGTTTAATGACATTAAACATTATCTAATGTTTAATAGGTTTATTAGCAAACATTAACAAGCACATTATCTCACGTTTCTAACTCTTTGAATATATATTAACTAATGATCCATTAAGCATTATATAATGTTTGTTAATGATTTATTAATGAAAGTTATTATAAAGTGTTACCAAATTGAATATTGCAGGTGAACACACCCGCTTAGGAGCTTTTAAACAGTATATACAACATAATGTAACAGTGTAGCAAGGAGAAATTTTCCTCATGGACACAGAAGAGTTCACATACAGGTATTATACCAAAGGGAGGATCTGAACGCATTTTGAATGGGCCTACCCATAATTCTTTGTTTTCTTTTTATTATTCTAAATTATACTAATACATATAAAATTTCCAGTCAGAAACATCTTGATATGACTTTCCCCCAATGTATGAATGATTCTATAAATGACTGAGCTGACATTTAGCACAGTGATTTGAAAGATTAAAAGTTACAAATATGAACTTTTATTTGTGGCTTCCTACTGCTGTCACGGCGTCTTTTTTCATCTTTTAGTTTCAAACGTTGCAGAAAACTTTTAAAGTGCTCCTGCATATACAAAAAGAAGGCCACAAATGTTGCTATGCAAGCTGATGTGTCTTATATAAGGAAAACATGATGTTAATACTAACAGTATAGCTTTTAAACAAAACAAATTGAAGAGTAATAAGGCAAAAAAAAAGGTAATGTAAGTTTGCTTTCAAACACTCCATTCTAGTTGTAAATAAAGTCTGTAATCACCTCTAACCATCAAAGTGTCTACTTAGTAATAAATCATTAGATCATTAAAATAAAGTGCATCAAAGCCCCCACCACCCCCCACCATCTGCTGAGCTAATGATTTGTACAAAAGATCTGATATGTAGAAATCCCCGTAGTATTATCAGGTAGCTGGCATTTTGTAGATCTGTCTGAAACATGCCTTATCTTGCTCAGAGCAAACTCTGATAACTGCAACATTGTGTGCAAAGACAGAAGAACTGCACAGCTCAAGCATTTCTCATGCAAAAAAGTCACGAAATGCATACTTCTCAGTCTTACCTCATTAGATAATCAGTACCTAAACACTGGTTGCACCTCACATCCCATACTTTTGCTACACGCTAAATAAACGTACTTCATTTGCTGCTGGGAAAGTAGAGCTGCGGCTGAGTATGTATTTAGACGGTATGCCAGTATTGAGACATACAACCACATCATAAAATCACCACAGGCCCCTGCCATGCACTGTTTGTGTTAGCATGACGCTAAATTCATAACTTGCATATCTTAGGTTCAACATTTTTACACATCCTGCAAATATTCACAGTATTAGTTGATCACAGTATTGGACTAAATCTTGAACTTGAACTTATAACCTCAAAAAGCATGAACAGATTTATCTTTTTTTGTTTTTGTTTTTTATACAAGTCACCACCCAAGACACAGTAAACCACCCAGGAACTTTTAGCATGTTATTTTCAACAGTCGATGATTTGGGATGCACTAATTCTACTCTTGCATACTAAATGCAAAGGTTGTGTTAACCAAAAATTGACCATAATTTTGGAAATTTGTAAATGCATAATGACGAATAATTAAAAATGCTTTCCATCATTCACACCAAGAAAGCTAACTATAAAGATAACTATAACTTCAACTATATTAGCATCCACACCAATGCACATTAACATTCTGTTTAATATAGGTGCACGCTTTCATTTGTCATTTTAAATGCTTGAGCATGTTAAAGCAGGATGGATTCTGATTGGCTGTCAGTGTTTTATTGTTCATCAGCTGGAAAATATCTTTCTGAAAGTGATTTTAATGATATCGTTCCTGTAAATCGTTATCGTTATAGTTGTGGTGTGAATTCTCTTAAATTAAGAAAGATTTTTAGATCTTTACAGTTGACTTGATTTGAACGGACCTTAAGGGACACTAATTATGGAATCCTGCCTCAGAGTAAAAATAAATAATTAAAAAATCAACTGTGACTTAATTTGGTGCGACTTTGAGCTATAAGTAGTCACAATTACCTTTTTATGTATTGGTTTTTACAATTGTATTTCTTGTAATTGTGACTTTATTTCTTGTGACCTTTAATCTCACAGTTGTAATACCATACATCCCAATATGTAATTATATTTCTTATCTTAAACTTTATCACAGTTACCAAAGTGATTTTTTTTTTACTCAGTCGAAAATGGCCTTCCATAGTTATAGTGATTAGAAGTAAAGGAAAAGGGAGAAAAGGTTTTAAAATGCAAAACAGACCGGGAAAAGTATGATTTGAAAATAATAATTCATGGGATAGTGAAGTTCTTGTGACAAAGTCACATTAAAAATACCGAGTGTTACAATATTTTACTGAAATAGAGCATGACAGAAAAATACAACCCAGTCAATTAGAGTGACAGATAATTATTATTAGTAGCACAACCTCTGACTACAGAACTTAATCAGGTTAAACGCCATGTTGAATTTAAGATGAATGAAAACAAGGTGTGAGGGATAGACTTACAATGTCTTTACAATGTCATGGACTGCATAAAGATCCTAGGTCAGGTATTTTTCACAACTCACAACTAGTGAGTTAATCACATCCAAAATAAAAGTTTGTTTACAAAATATATGTGTGTGTACTGTGTGTATTTATTATGTATATATAAATACACAAACATACATGTATATATTTAAAAAAATACTTACATGAATATATATATATATATATATATTCAAATATAATTTAATTTATATTATATATAAACATTAATATTTTATATATAAACAAAACATATTTTACTTAAATATATACAAGCATGTGTGTGTATTTATATATACATAATAAATATACACAGTACACACACATATAATATGTAAACAAAAACTTTTGTTTTGGATGCGATTAATCACGATTAATCGTTTGACAGCACTACTCACAAATTTAAAAAAGGTTTTATAGAGTTTTTGTCAATTAAAAGTTTTTCGTTAAGATGTTTCGTCAGCTGAACAATTGGTA